TAATTGTGTTGACATGTTTGACAACATGATGACAGATTTAATGTTGTTCTACGAAGATATGATCTGTAAAACATCATTAAGAAAATCAAGTGAGCACCTTTTTTTATATGATTTTTAAGTACTCAGTAATCTTTAAAATTCATGAAAATATTCTCCGTAATTTAATGTTTTATTGAATCTTAGAAATTTTGGCTTTAAATTTATTATAGTTATCGATCCTATTTTCTGATAATGTGTTTGTTCGCTCTTACTTACAAAAAACAAAACAAAACAAAAAAACAAAAATCAAAAACGACACGTATATAAACTAATAAAAAGTTCAAAATATTAGTGTTTGATAATTTGTACTTAGCTTTTCCATTTATGATTAGTAAATATAGTTTTTAGTAAATTTAGTTTTTACTTAAAAAATAATATCATCAAAAACGCTGAAATTAACACAGAATTTCAAAAGATTTAAAACTTAAATTTTTCAAATTGAAATTTTACAAAAATGAAAACAATTGTAAAAATAATTTTTATCAAGACAATAGTATCCATAATATATGTTATAAAAGCAACTAAAAGTTTTTCTAATGAAATAATTTAATAATTTTATTACATTTTTTTATTTTACGATTCAAGGTAGAATTTTGACAAGTGGTGTTTCAGTTTGACAAAAAAAATTAATGATTTAAATTCTACAAGGTGTCCTGCATTTAACTAATATAATTAATATAAGTACTAATATAAGTAATATAAGTACTAATATAATTAATATAAGTACTAATATAATTAATATAAGTACTAATTTAATTAATATAAGTACGAAAAACCTGGAATTTTACTTTCACGAAATTTCATAAAATTAAATAGGTGGGGGTAACTGATGTAAAAAAAGAGAAGATTTTTGCAAAATTTTCTAAGAAAAAAAATCTCTAATTCCATTCATTTGTGAATAAGTCCCGAAAGTGTAATTTAAATCCGACAATTATTTTTTCAAGAATTTTCAAAACAGTGTGTATTTTACGGCATAAAAATCCCTATAATAATGTTGGGTAACCAGAGGCTGACGCAAGAAAAACAAGATTTTTCACCAAATGCTATAAAGGATGAAAACATTTAATAAAATAATCAAAAAATAATTTTATCTTAATAATAACAAACATTTCGACGATAAAACTTTGTTTTTATCAATTTCGGGAGCCTTTTTCATCATTCCATGCTCCTTTTAAAAACATCTTTGGGAGGTATCTAGTTTTAAGGTATGCTATATATTCATGGGTAAAAGTGTTCAATATAAAAGGTAAAGTGTATGTAAATGTAAACTATAAAAGTGGACACTGAGGTAACTGTCTTTTTCAGGCTTCATAGCATATATATATATATATATATATATATATATATATATATATATATATATATATATATATATATATATATAATATGTATGTTTACAAATATATACATCTATCTATCTATCTATCTATCTATCTATATATATATACATATATATATATATATATAATGTGTATGCATACAAATATATACATACATCTATCTATCTCTCTATATATACATATATATATATATATAATGTGTATGCATACAAATATATACATCTATCTATCTATCTATCCCTCTCTCTCTCTCTCTCTATATATATATATATATATATATATATATATATATATATACAAATTTTATATATATTATTTATTTATTATATATGCGCGGTACTTATTTGAAAGCGCTCAATATCAGATCTAACATATTTAGTTGCGTTGATGTGATTTTGTGACCCTGCGTTTCACGCCCCTTGCGATTGTCAGACAAACTCTGAGTTTGTCAGATGATCGCTAGAGGCGTGAAACCCAGGTCCACAAACTTATCAACGCAACTATATATATATATATATATATATATATATATATATATATTTTAGTGCAATTAAGATTTTATTTAATTTTTCTTGTGTTCGTATAATTGTTTTCTTTTCTAAATACGAACGTAAGAAATAATGAATAAAAATCTTAATCGTAGAGCGGATCCGAATACAGAAGTCACAGTATACTCTTTTCCACAACGGTCTATCAACGTCAGCCATCAGCAATTCTAGTACAGTCGTACTTGTCCATTGTTTGACATTGTCCAACCAGTTTTTGCGTTGGCCTCCTCTTTTATGTCCACCTTCAACGGTGCCTTGCACGATGGTCTTGTACAGGTTGTCGTGCCTTGTAATGTGTTCAAACCACGCCATTTTCTCTGTTTGACAGTGGCGAGAAGAGGTTCCTGGTGGCCCATAAAACTTTCAACCCTTTTCCGAAAAACTCACTGAATTTTGTTCCCAATAGAAAATGCCAAGGAGTTTTCTCAAGCATTTGTTCTCAAACGCTTGGATCCTTCTGTCTGTATGGACACTGCTGGCAAATACAGAGAGAAGGATCCAAGCGTTTGAGAACAAATGCCTGAGAAAACTCCTTGGCGTTTTCTATTGGGAATAAAAAAAGAACATGGATAGGAATTAATAAAGAAATTTTTAATGATTGACATTTACTTTGATAATTATATATGAAGTGCACCACAAAATACAGACAGTTTCTATTGAAATGAAGTAAATGGCAACGTCTCTATTTTAAAGATGTCAACAGTTTTGGGGATATAATTCGAATGTTGATCATTTAATACTTATGAATGTTATGCTAGAAAACTAACGAATAATATTAACTTCTGGAACGTGTCGAGTAACGAGAAAACAGGCCATTTGTTCCCCTCCTCCACCCCTACAGAATGAATTTCGAATTTCTCACTCTTAAGAATTAAATGATGCTATCGATACGTCATTATGATGTTATCCAATCAAAACTTTCCGCGTCACTCTTCCACTTGGCTATGAATGGATGAAAATATTCGTAGTAGCAAATAGAGTAGAAAAATAAACTTCTGAATGATTTAATGAATAAATTTGGCATTTTTTTTATTTAAAATTTGTTTATGATATTCCTTGATTAAATGTCTCTGCGCGCATTCAAAATTATAAAAAAAAAAGGAATTGTCAATGGTCATGACTTAAAGCTTACTAACAGAATTGGCATAATACTTGCATTTTCCCCATTTGCAACTGTCAGGGTTCTACGATTTTCAATTCTCCATCGAAATATTTTCTTGTACATCACTGACACAATCAAGAATTCTATGCCGTTTTTCTTGATAAGGAAAACTGTAGTGCGACTGTCTATATTATCAATCAGCGTGTGCATGTACCCGTACTCAAGTATTCGTCGTGGGGTAGAAATGATAAAAACGCAGAAAGATGCAGTGTTACTCGACTGGGCCACAAGTAGCGAATTGTGCTGCCCCCCCCCACCTTGAAAGCTGGGCTCTATGAATTTTTTAGTTGGCTTTTTTTCTCATTATTATATCACAATTTAGCCTAGTTTATTTTTAAAAAACTATCCTCAAAATTTGCGAGTAGTGAAATTCAAAATATAATGACGCTAGACTCAAAAGTAGAAAACAAACCTGAAACGCTATTTACATTATTCGGACTATTGTCCTCATTTTTGTCGCCATTCCAACCACCTGAAGAAGGCCGGATCGTACATCAGCCGAAACGTTGTAATAAATATGGCGACAAAGATGAGGACAATAGTCCGAATAATGTAAATAGTGTACATAATACCCCATCTCAGAAATATAGACAGATACTGAAGGTCCGAAACATTGTAATAGATATGGCGACAAAGATGAGAACAATAGTCCGAATAATGTAAATAGTGTACATAATACCTCATCTCAGAAATATAGACAGATAATGAAAGGCCGAAACATTGTAATAAATATGTCGGCAAAGATGAGGACAATTGTCCGAATAATGTAAATTGTGTACATAATACCTCATCTCAGAAATATAGACAGATACTAAACCTGAGATGGTTTTGTATATTTAAATTTTACAAGCAAATCCAACATGAATATTTAACATCCGGATATTTTATCACGATCCGTTTGGGGAGAATGGACAGAGTGGTCCGAATGAATTGTCACCCTCTACAAAAATTAATGTGGAGAACATTAGAAGAACAAGTAATACAAAAGCACATGTACTGGATTCAGTTTATTGAATTTCAGTGAAGAAATCAAGATTCCTTCAAATTTAAAACCCAATACCCTTCGTCTGCCACATCAATGTAAAGGATGGTCTGAAAGTCTTGTCACCCTCTACCAGAAAGGAATGAGAACAATAGAACAACAAGTAATAGAGTAAAACAAAAACACATCTACTGGATTCAGTTGATTTACTTTCATTGATGCTGTCACACATCGAGAAGGTCTGTATGAACACACAATCATTTTTCGTGGCACAAAATGATGTCCTGTGTGATATTTTACGAAGCTGTGCTTTGCTGGTTGCTGCAAAGGCTCCCCGAATGGCGTCCTTCAACTGATGGGTATTCTGGTATCGTTCATGTGAAAGTCTCTCCTTGATGATACTTACCCCCACAGAGCGTTGTTATATTGTGTAGGAGTGACAAAACTTTCGGACTATCCTGTACATTTTAAAACGTTTCTCCAACTGAATTTCTCTAGAATTGAGCTCCTGAGATAATCCGACTGACACGACAAAAAAGTATTACCTACTGAGAATATATAGTCAGCATCCAACTAAATTTTAACATGATTAAATTTTAATTGTCTTTACCTATTCTACAAATGAATGTTTACCGATGATAGAGTCAAGATCAAGTACAGTAAAAATCCGTAGACATTCTAAAGATCCTGGCTTGAATTAAGAAACAAACAGTTGTATAGGAGAGTTTTATAACGTCATAAGTAAAAGAAATCAGCTTAAGTGTTGTAAATGAAACAAAAGGCAGAAGAGGATAATGTCTCATGTGTCCATTGTAGACGTAAAGTTTGCTATATCGGCTGCATAACTGTGCATCTTCTGACAACTCTATAAATGTCACTTGTATGTTCAGTTGAAGGCATGAATATGAAGTGTCATCGTATGATAGGGTTCATGAGTAATTGTTGTCTGATGGGTTTGAAGAGCGGGAGGAGGAGGTATAAGAAGAAGAGGGAGTAGGAGATGTAATAGATGGGAAAAAATGAAAAGAACGGGAAAAAGAAAGAGGACAAAAAAAAAGGTGAGGATAGAAAGCTAGAGTAAGAGAAGACGAATGATGAGAAAATAAAATAGGAAAATGGCGGGTGAAGATTGATGAGAGAAGTTTGAAGAATAAGGAATAGAAAGAAAAAAGAAAAAATGGGAAGAAAACGAAAGCAAGAGAAAGAATAGAAAGGACGAATGAACTGGAAGAAGAGAAAGAGGAGTAGGAGATTGAGTTGCTATTTTCTTTCAACTCGACATGATGAACAGCTAAGCAGTTCTACATTTGCGCCTTTTGGACACAGTAGCCATTTTAATCAATCCGTTAGCAAAATCGAAAATTCCACTCAGTAACATCAGTGCAGTGTTTGCTATGAATTAAAATTTACAGTTTAGTATTTTACAATTCGTAGAGAACTAAAAGAATTTTAGTATTTTTTGAAGAGCTTTTAAAATTCTGATGTAACACGGGAATTCCAAATTTATATAACCTCATCTCAGGAAAAGTATAAATATTGTTAACTACCAAGTATTGTATTGTCAAACCCAGATTAGGACACAACGCAAAGCAGAAACATACCTGAAAATGTCGTTCCAGTGCAGGCTACGTGAAGTCAATGGAGAAAAACTGATCATTGCCAAAGAACAGTTCAATGATTTAAAATGTACAGTAAGATTAACGAATATTAAAATCCTATCATTGTATCTGTGAGGATTTTCACGTCTTGCACGAAGCAATGTTATTTTATTTCGAATATTACAAACGCCAAAATAAGCGTAGCTGAAACATCAGGAAGTTCTCTAAGTGGAGGTATTCTCTAAAGGAACCCCAGTAATCAGCCACAAATCAAATGTTAATTCCTTTGACAAATCGTTCAATAAATACAAAGAGTTGTAATGTCTTTCTCTTCATTCATAACGTCATAAAATACAAAAAGTAAATAATGTATAATTTTACTTATGTGTAAATATGCATCAATATAGAGGAAAATGATATATAAATTTTTATATACCAAAAAAAAAAAAAATTAGGAAAATTAATGACAAAGTTGAATTTTTTTTCTTTAGGACTTCATCGGCCTAAAGTGATTTTCCATTAATGCAACTGCGCATGCGCATAAAGAAGATAGGTGGAGAGGCCGAAATTAAAAAAAAAAATAATTAAATTAAAAAAAAAATTTTAAGTTTAAAATTTCAGCGTACCTTACACTTCTGTGCGCATGAGTAGTTAATTACATCAATGAAAAATATCTCTTTAGTCTTATAAAATCCTGAATGACAAAACGCGTCGCACAAAATCTTTTTGAACTTTTTCTAACATACATACAGAACGTTCTCAGCAAGCATGATCTCACCATCAGAACCAAAATCATGGTCTTCCGGGCAGTGGTACTCCCCATCTTCCGAGACCTGGACTTTGTATCGTCGGGACATCAAATGTCTAGAGTGGTTCCAGCAAACGAAGGTCCGAGGAATCCTTCACATCAACAATGAGGTCCTCTTTTGCAAATCTCTCCCTAGCATCTAGGCTACCATCCTTCAAAATCACCTCTGCTGTGTGGGTCACGTTGCCCCCCCCCGTATCATCCTGTTCGGAGAAGGCACCAGCGAAACCAAAAACGACGCATCATCAAGGATCAGTTGAAGACATTCCTGACGCAGGTCAACATCGACCCTGAGACCTGGGAAACAATTGCTGCAAATCTGTCTTTCTGGCGTAGGAGCATCCGAGTGGGGTGGGACCGAGACTTTAGAGTCCAACCGTCAACAGGAAGAGGATGCTGTCAGGAGGCACGACTGGTCGAACCGCGTCCACCACCCACAACTCCTCACAACTCTTCAGGAGTAGGCTGAGCCTTCAAAGCCATCTCTGTCACTGCCACCAGAGTGGAGAAAGGAAGTAAGCAGAGGTGATGATGATCTCGGATGCAAACGGGTGCCAACTACAACATGCATACATATATAAAATGTGATTATATGCATTCATGAGGAGGAGTAATGGATTGCGACTTGGATTGAGGAATCGGAGAGCCGAGTTCGAATTCCAGTCGAATCCATTACATTCACTTACGTGCTAATACCCTTGGGAAAGGTGTGACCATGAATCCTCTTCTTCTCGCTCCAGCTATGGATAAATAGCAGGACAGACAGGGTTCTTGGATGGCAACTGGTCTAGAAGAAGGACAACGCTGAATTCAATCCCGGAATGAAGCCCCTAAGGCGGATGGACGGCACTTTGTGCTACCTTCTGGCAACTCCTGCAGCCGCGCTCGTACCAAACTGTATTGGTTTGTCCTCTCCTTTGGACCCTGCTAGCAAGGCCGAGAGGGGGGAACTAGACGTCTGGGTAGCCCTAGTTCTCCATATTATCCCGCCCAGGCTCGTAGCGCACCGTGCTACTCCATCGTCTCTCGAGACGGACGGATGCCGACGACGACGACATGCACATATTTTATACTACTCTAAACGTTTCATATATATATATATGACAAGTCGAAAAAACTTTATCCTTCAGGACTTTATCGAACTTCATCGATGTTTACTTTGATGAAAGTAAACATGTACATAAAAGAAATGGGACGATGAAATTTTTAATTTAAATTTTTAAATTTTTCATTTTAATTTTTTAATTTTTTATTATTTTAAAAATATATTTGGGTCTATAGTCTAACTGATTACATTTAGTTTCTTTGTCTTTTTGTTTATGTTATTATTACTTTTGTTATTAAATATCACACATTGTGATAATAGAAGACCAGCTAAGAATGTTGAAATGGTGTAAGAACTTGGACATAAATCTAGAGATTAAAGCACTTTCTATATATTTTCGTTTTAGTAAATTACTTTCCCTTTTAATTAAAATAGCATTTTTTAAATCAAAATTATAGTCAGACTTATTATGCTGAGCAACTAAAGCCTTGTGTCTGTAAAAGATCCCTTTTGTATTCATATAAACATTTATTTAAATTCCTTGAAGTTTCTCCTATGTAATCCTTGTGCCAATTATTACAGATGATAGAGTAAATTTTAGCTGCTTATTTTCTTTTGTATTAAGTCTTTTTTTTTGTTTTAGAAGTAGTTGTAACAAATTTTATGTTAAGTTTAGATAAATTCTTTTGAATTATATTTTTGATAGAGTTAATTGCTAGAAGAATATATTTTAAAAATTTGTTAGAATGCTCCACTCGTTTATTTCGCGTTAAATATGAAATTCTTAGGCTATTTCTCCTCCTCAGATAAATATTGAGGACTACAAATACTCAGTGCTATTAAATAGAATTCGATTTCGGGTTCTATTTTGTTGTTATGTTGAGAATATAAATTTATGAGATCATTTTTATTAGTAGATTTGCGATGGACATTTAGTTTTAGGCCATTATCATTGCTGTGCAACATATCTAGGAAAAGTAATGTTATTGCTTGTTTTTGCTTCGTAAGTGAATTCTATCGTATGTTGAACTTTAGTTTATCTACAACGTTGGGTAAAGTAGTTTTGCGGGGAATATGTTAGAGCATCATCAATATATCGGAAATATGTTGACTTTTTAGGTAAAATATTTGGAAAGAACCAAAATTTTTTTACCTAAAATCATATTGGGCCAGTTTAATACATTTGCTATATGATTCACTGTTTTTTCGTATTTCTTTTAAAAAATTTCATCCAGTATAAGGCTCAAGAGTCACCCAAGGTAAAAGGTTAGTGAATGAAGAGTGTGGTATGAACATAAGAGAAGTGAGAAGGAAATGAAGATTATGAGGATATGGCGGATAGATAACGATTGACCCTAGTATTGAAGAGGTTAAGATTATAGCCCTCTGCGAAGTATTCACGCGGATGTCAGTTCCACATAGTAGCTGACCTTGGGAAGAAGCTTTCGGAGTGGAACGCCCTTCTTACGAATGAGATACATAGTGAATGAGAGTGATTCACTGTGTATGTACCAAGGCGTGTCGTGGCCGTAAAGTTTTGTCGTGCCTATATTATTATTATTATTATTATTATAATATAATCACTGAGTAAGCTGTTGGCATTGGTTCGTTCTTAAATTATTTTCCCATAGACCACCTAGGTGTTGTGGGAAGTTCAACCCGAGTGACGATGACGTGCTGACAGCTGATAAGTTTGTACACGCACGCGTCCAAAGAAAACTTACAAAGTTCGGTGTTTTTCGCCAGTTTACAGCGAGTAATTACACGTCATGAACCTCATTGACTAAGCACCCAGGTCCTCGGTGATATGCCACTGACGAAGAACTGGAAGTTTGGAGAATTTCAAGGAGGACGCCATTACAATTGCGCAGATATAAGCGATCCTTCATTTTTTCTTTCGTAAACAAAGACGCAATCAGCTTTCACCAGCAATTCATCACTTTTTAAAATAAATTACCCCGTTTTCCATTTCAAGTCGACATCGAAATTGCAGACGCAGACGGGGGTGTGGTAGTAGCATAAGTGCCTCGTCTCTTTCCGCTCGTTAACAACAGCTGATATTTAAAAAACAAAACAAAAAACGCAGAATTAAAATCCACGTCACAGTTTCGTTTGAAATCTTTTTAAAATGAACGTGAAGATTCAGTTAGTATCTTTATAGAAAACTATTGACTATTCTGTTTGCTAGTAACACTTATCTATATTTCTCATTAATGAAAATCCCTTTCTCCCTTAATTTTAAAGCACATTACAACTTGATTGCTGAAACCGATTAAATAAATTAGGGCGAAATTTAAAAAGAAATCAAACATTTTCCTTGTATCGCTAAAGATATTCTGTTGTTTTTTTTAATGCTTTAAATGACAAAGCAGAATGGAATAATGATAAACTGAATGAATAAATAAGTAAATATATATTCAAAAAGAGTCAACTCTAGGAAAAAAGTCATTGTTTCCCTTTGCTCACCACTTACCAGCAGAGCTTGGTCTGGTACTATATAATAAAGGTCAGAGTAATATTAGATGTTTCCTTATAAGGAAACATTTGATATTCATTGACCGAGCAGCCAGTGTTAGTCTCGGTTGAAATTTATAAAATCTTTCTCTTAAAACGATTTTTTAGAAAATATGTTTCTCAAGTCCAGTCGGTGTTAATCATCTTTCGATTATCGATGAAGGTTTTCTTCCTTGCCTTTTTTTGGCGGGGGGGGGTCCAGTGGGACGCCAGCATCGTAATTATTTCATTGTTCATTCTTCGAGTTACATATGCTATCCATTTTAGTTGTTGCTGCTGTTAAAAGACCTCAAGTGATATGGTTTCTGTTATCTGGGACAGTTCTTTGTTTGCGATTATGTAGTGTCAGTCTACTAGTTTCGAAGGAGGCTGGTCTACGCTAAAATCTACAGGTGTCATTATTGTGAAGCCATTTTTAACCAGCAATCTGAGAAAGAGGTTGCATATAATCGACATCTTAGATATTCCTGAACGAGTTTTGCTCCATGAATGGCATCCGGATGAAAGTCTCGATCTGAAGAGGCTATTTAAGCATATGACTTTTTAATTTAATGTTTTCGTTTTGTAGCAATTGGTGGTGTTTGGAGAAACTACCCCTAGAACTACCTATTCAATTTCTTTTTATCCTATACTAATGTTTTTGTAATTGTTCCATACATCGAAATATTTCAAGCGTTTAGTATTTACTAATTTCACATCCGGGATTTTTATAAAGGACTCAGGGTACGTACCATCACCGCTTTCATTCCAGTTCAGGGTACGCACCATCACTACCTTCATTCCAATACAGGGTACTATTTGAAAACGGCAAAATACGTGTTGAAGGTCTTTTAAAGATATCCCCGGCGGGGAATTATTACTATTTCTATCCAGAACGGCTTAGAGTTACTACTACTTCTACGCAATACAACTTAGAACATAAACACAGGAACATATACTAATGGAACCCCTTAAAAATGGTTAATGGAATGGTCAAAAGCGATTGATAGTTTCTATATTCTCTTAGTTCCCAGAAAAGGAAAACTGTAAGCACTTTGGAAAAACTGAATAATAAAAAACAAGCTTATAAAATTTTCCTTGCTTGTCAAGTTCAATGAAACATGTATAAAATAAAGTTTGCTGCCCAAATATACAGTAGTCATTGAAGTGAATGACAGTTGTGATGTATTTATTGAATAAATCCAATCCCTAGTAGCACGGCTTATAGAAATAACTAATTAAAAGCATAAAAGTGCGATACCAAATATATTTATTAATTTTCTTACTCTTAAACATTCATGCTCCCTGACAGATTCAGTAAAACTTTGAAGCTAAAGAAGCCGATTCTATTTTTAAAACCTGTATGAGTCATTGTTCTTTTCAGTTGACTTAATATAATGCAATTATAATTTATTAGTTCAAATATTTTGAGCACTATTTTATAATCACACGTTTCACTGAATTGATTTGCAATGGCGTTTCGAATACTTGACCGATCGCTAAAGAGATGGTCATTTTCATTGTTTGTAGTTCGAGATTTCATTCCTCTAGATTAACGGGTGCATCAAACGCAAAGAATCAAGGATATAAGTTTTTAAGCGTTCTGTCACGGAGTTAGACATGTTTTCAAATTGTATCCTACATTTGTAAGACTTTAACAAAACCTGACGTCTCAAGATGGCGGGTTTCGAACAAAAAGCATGAAAATGGATTTGTTCGCAACGGAATCTGATTAACTCGAAGTAAAAAAGAAATCTCTGAGATGTAAGTGAAAGACTTTAAATCGGTTGGCGTAGGGAGAACAATGGCAAGATCATTATATAAAGCGTTGGGTTAGTGGGTGCGGCGAGTGGGATAAAGAGATGTTGTCTAGCGTCTGTTGTACGGAGATTTGGCTGCGCAACAAGTTTTTTTGTGGATTGAAAAGAAAGAGGCAGTTTAGTTTCTTTAATACAGAGTACCCCAGGCTGGTACTTAGCAGAGTTGATTAGAATGGGAAAAGCATAAATATGGTAAAAATGAAGGACAGAAAGAAAGAAAAAAGAGAAAAAGAAGAAAAGAAGGTAAAAAAGAATGAGGAAAAAAAGAAAGAGGAAAAAAAGAAATTGAAACAGAAAAGAAAAAGTAGAAATGAAAATAATGAAAAAGAGAAAAGAAAGAAAAAAAGGAAGAGATAGAGAAAAGAATAAAATACAGAATGAAAAGGTAGAAAGAGAAAAGTAGAAAAGAAATAAAAAAGAAAGATAAAAGAAAAAAAGATTTATAAATGCGAAAAGAAAGAAAAAGAGAAATGAAGAAGAAAAGAAAAAAGAAAAGAGGAAAATTTTAAAAAAAATTAATAAAAACTAAAGAAAAATAAGCAAATAAATAAAAAGGGATGAAGGAAAAAGAGAAAAGAAGCAAAAATGAAAATAAAAAGAAGGAAGAAAAGAAAAAGAGGAATGAAATTGAATAATGTATATCTGATGAAGGTTGGAGCATACAACGACCTAAGAGTTGTGAATATGACATTTAAGACGAGAACAAAAATCCGAACAATGTAAATAGTGTAGATAGTTACAATACCTGATCCGTGAAATATAGACAGAAATTGAAGAATTTTATTAATAAGTGAATCAAAAATAAAAGCTCAGAAGTGTCAACAAGTTTTAAATAAGGGATCAGTTTTTTTTATAAGATTGTTTTCAATTAAATATTTTGCCTATCTTCTTTTACCTATGGAAAATGATTTTATTTTTTGCTATTATTCTGTTTTGGCCGAAGTCACGATCTTTGATTTCTTGAGGTATTTTATCTACGTGAAATTTTTCCGGAATCTTCAACCGCTTTTAAAATGCAAAATAGAAGAATAACGTCTGGAATTTCTTTAATTTTATGCGATTTAAAAGAACTAACAAGGGAAAAAGGGAACAAAAAAAAGGAAACACAAAAAAGGAAACAAAAAAGGAAACAAAAAAGGAAACAAAAAGAAACAAAAAAGGAAACAAAAAAGGAAACAAAAAAGGAAACAAAAAGAAATAAAAAAGGAAACAAAAAAGGAAACAAAAAGAAATAAAAAAGGAAACAATAAGGGACGAAAAAGAAACTTAAATTTTATTAAAGAAAAGAAAAGAATAACCAAATCATAAAATAATGATTCGAATGGAACCAAAAAACAGACATATACGTAAAAAGCAAAAAAAAGCAAAGAGAGATTGAGAGAGATAGAGATATATATATATATATATATATATATATATATATATATATAGATAGATAGATAGATAGATAGAGAGAGAGAGAGAGAGAGAGAGAGAGAGAGAGGGGTAGAGAGAATGAGAGAGAGATGGAGAGAGAGGGAGAGAGTAATTAGCCAATGAACTGCAATGCATCTTCTTGAAATCTTCCTTTGTAAATCCATTTTTATGTAAGGAAAAATAAAAGACAAATGAAACTTATGTCGTGCGTCAGAATTCAACTTAAGAAACAAGAACATTACTTCTTCCTTTTTAATTTTCACCTCTTTATATTACGCACGTCAACTTTAGAAGATGGGGAATTCCTTCTTGATGATTTGGGATTATTTGATTAATATTTTTATCTCGCCCCATTCGTTTTGACGACGTTGGATACTGTTTACACTTTCTAATTTAAAACGTTTTATCCTACAGTAACGCCTCAGAAAAACGCCCAATACCAGTTTGCTATTTATTCAGCTGTGAGAACCAGTTTATTACAGATAAAAAAAACAACCTTTGTTGTACAAAACAAAATATTAATCTTTTAAAAAAACAAAGAAACAAAAATAAATATCACATTGCACATAATTAGGTTGTGTCGTATTTTCAGTCTTAAATTTTAGATGCATGCAAAAGCTTTAGCCACAAAACAATTTTCAAAAACGCTGGAAACTTCGACAATAATACTTGATATTTATTTGTTAAATGTATATCACTTTCTGTCCATTTTTATTGTTCTCAGCATCAATAGAATCAGGGAAGGATAAATTGAGTGACCAGTTAAATTGTCCAGATTTTAACGATTATGTAAAACAACAATGGAAACAATCTTACGTCATCGGATAATTTCTTACTTTGGAAAACTAAATAAATAAACGACAAATCCTGTCTGTCCGTCTGTGTGAGTGAAACCCCTTTAACTCGGGCTACATTTACTCTACAAACATATATTATATTGATTAAAAATCTGCCCTTCTTTTGGTGCTTGAACATCTCGCATTAGGATTTGTGTCTGGGTGAAGAGGGAAGCGTTAAAAATTCAAATTTTAAAATAACTGAAAAAGTATTGATGAATTTAAAAGTTTTTAATTTATATTGAGTTTAAAGTAACACGAAAATTTTGTGAATTTAATAAGTTTTGTTTTAAATTCAGTTTCAAATATCACAAAAATTTTGTTCGTTTAGAAAATACCAAAGAGAGGTTTCGTAACGCGACGTTCTGAAGTTTCGCAGAGTTTGTGATTTGAAGAACTCAATTCAACTCAAGTTCCATGGAGTTTGTAAGTTGAAGAACTCAATTTTCAGCCTGAATTGGAATTTCGGCCCAAATTGAAAAATTCAAAGTAATTTCTTCAAAATTATCATTGCTGTTTTCTAAGCAGGACCAAAGATTCCTTTAGTTTTGAGCCGGACGCCCAATTAGCCCTTTGCAGGACCAAGAGTGTTGCTTTTAAAGTAGTTCCTAATAAGTAGTAAAAAATAGATGAATTAACTGACACTTGAGAAAATTTCGATATATATTCTGCTGGTGAAAAATCTTTCAAGATCATAACGAATTACTTGTCTTCAACGTTTAATTAACGCTTTCATATTTCCTCTGTGAATTCAGTTCCTGTGTTTCTTCATTTAATGTCCACTTAAGATGACCGAAGCCTTGCGGCCGATCTCTCCTCTGACGTTTGATAAAAAAATAATGGCTTGTAACTTTCAATATATCAAAAACAGAGTCATTATCAGTATATCCCCGTTCAAACCCTGGGTTTTCTCCAGTCACAATAAATTGATCCATTCTCAATGAAGCTCCATATTTTGAACATCTATTGGATCTTTTAATTACATTCCAGATCTCCATGTGTACGATACAAGGCTAAAGATACATGAAGAATGCTCGGTTCATTTTATAACTCCAGGAAGTTTTCTGGCTTCTTCTACCAGATGAGGCTAAAAATGAAGTATTGCGGTGATAGGTAGCTTGAGGCTGATCAATCCTCACTTTTCAGCCTTCATAGAATTAAGAATCGTTAGAGCAGAGTCTTGTTTAAGCCTGATGATTGTTGCGCGCATGAAACTGAGTAACATCGTGCAGTAAGAGACAACGTTATAATTCATTTTAATATCATAGCTGTGTTATCTTTTGGACTTCCACCACTCACTGGGCACTATTATATATATATATATATATATATATATTTGTGTGTGTGCAGATAGATATGGATATGATAAAATATGTGCACATACGTACATATATTTGCACGTATATATATATATATATACACACACACACACACATACATACACACACACACACACACACATATATATATATATATTATAATTTAACTGGTTTAAAATATAATATTTATTCTCTGTAAATTTACATTGAGCAGTATTTTGTAAAAATAAAAAGATATCAATAAGAACACCGGATTATACAACTTCCTTTTCTTTATATATATATATATATATATATATATATATATATATTTCTTACAACGTTTCGGCCTTTGTACGCTCCGTCCTTCTTCAGGTGGAATGTCGAACTGAACCCTTTATTTCGCTCACACAATGGATAAAGGCGGTAGTTAGATCTAGTGACAGGACCCAAAGAGTGTGAGTTCAATACCTGGTTAAGGCAGTGGAGAACTTAGAGAGGGGAATTAACAGGTGATAACTGATAACTGACATCCGTTAAACATGGTATGTGGAACTAGAACAGTCTATCCCAGTGAGCGAAATAAAGGGTTCAGTTCAACATTCCAACCACCTGAAGAAGGCCAGAGCGTACAACGGCCGAAACGTTGTAATAAATATGTCAACAAAGATGAGGACAATAGTCCGAATAATGTAAATAATGTACATAATACCTCATCTCAGAAATAAAGACAGATATATATATTTCTGTCTCAAGTGTTATAAATAGAGTGCTCAGTGTTATAAAACAGAGTTATTAAGTATATATTAGGGAGTATCATGATATCCAACTTCGATAGCACGACTTGGTGTTTCATGCAAATCTGCAGACATCAGGTGCTGACATGCGTTGGATAAACCACTGGAGAAAGTATCCAGCACGTGAAGTTTGCAGATTTGCAGAAACTCCGTGTCGTGCTATTGACGTTGGATATTACGTATAATCACACACACACACACACACACACACACACACACACACACACACACACACACACACACACATATATATATATATATATATATATATATATATGCAAGGCTAAAGGCTATTGAGAATGAAAAAGACTTTAGAAGGAATCGGAAACCCAATCTTAAACAGGAAACTAAGGATAAACCTTTACTCCGGTTCAGAAGACTGGGGAGGAGTGTGAACCGGGCAATAGGAAAACCTATCTACTGCTATTGAAGGAATAAATAAATACCAAATAAAATTTCTGAGTTTAGGCGGAGTCGTTCGAAGTAAAGAGTTGAAACTTACTTTAGCGTGGACCGGAAACCCATTCCTGAATAAGAAACAAGAGATAAACCCCTATGTCTGTTCAAAAGGGAGGAGTATTAATCGGAAGATAAGCGAACCTATCTCCTTATATATATATATATATATATATATATATATATATAAAAAAAAAAATATACTTTTACGGTATGCTATATTTATGGGTAAAATGCACAACATCAGGAATAGAGCGTGTATAAATATAAGAGTGGTCAACACCAAGTGACAATAGAGTCTGTTTCATGCCTGGACGCAATCTCCATGACCTGAAGATTACATTCAAGCATGAAACAGACTATCACCACTAAGTGATATATATATATATATATATATATATATATATATATATATATATATATGAAGAAATATACTCTTAAGGTGTGGTATATTTATGGAATAAAAGAGCTCAATATCACAGATAGAGCGTGTGTAAATATAAAAGTGAACATAGAAGTCAACACTTAGAGGCGACAGGCTATTTCATGCTAGATGCAATCGTCAGGCCGCCTGATATATATATATATATATATATATATATTACAGCAAAGTTGTTTGGAATTTTTTAACTGACATCGAATAACTTATTTGACACCAGAAGAAATTCACTAAAAGGCATAACAGACACACAGAAAATAATGAAGACTTTGGCCGGGAGATGTGAAAATTGCCGGTCATGAATGTAATTACCGGTGTGTTGAAAAAGCTCCCAAAGACACTTGCATAAAAAGTGGAAAAAGCATTTTATATACGGCGAAAGAATTATAATGGAAAACCAAACATTGTTGCAAGTGACGGGGATATAAATGCGAGTGTTAGAAGAGCCTTGTTGCCACATGACCCATTGTGCATTAGAAACGCGTTTGGTACGAAGATAAATAATAATAATAATAATAATGATAATAATAATAATAATAATAATACTAGCAGCAGCAACCACGACAATAATATAGAAAGAAAATAACAGGGAGCAGAATAAAAGAATAAAAGAAAGTGCTTATTTATTTTCTTCGTGTGTCTTTCTCTAAAATAACATATCATATTTATCTGTTCGATGTTGTTTCAGTATTCTGTGGGCGGGAAAATAACAATATTTAGGGTGGAGAAAAGGGGCGGGTTTTCGGCTTCGTGGCCAGTGTCATTCTCTGTTCAGGTCGGGCCTCTTCTTAGTGGACAGATCTTGTAACTATCCATCGAATTGAGGAGGTCAGGGAGAATGTTGCATAAATTGAACAATGCTTGTTGACGTCACTTAAGATCCACGTGACACGTAGTACTGAATAGTTAGATCCAGGTAGTAGAACAGCAGAGAGAGAGAGAGAGAGAGAGAGAGAGAGAGAGAGAGAGGAAAAGGGAGAGAAGACAGAGAGGGAGAGAGAGAGAGAGAGAGAGATGCATAGGGAGGGAGCAGAAAATAGCGTGTTGAAAGAATTTCAGGGTGAGAAAAAGTTGAATAGGAAATTAGAGAGGTAGTAAAAAGAGGGGGAAAAGAGAGAGCAACAAAAAGGAAGAGTGAAACAAAGATGATGAATAGAAGAGAGCGAAAAAACAGAATAAGTAAAAAAGGAGAGAGAGAGAGAGAGAGAGAGAGAGAGAGTGGGGCGGCGGTGTCTGTGTGTTGCTAGCAAGAAAAGAAACTTCGAAAAGATTTTTCACATCATAAAAATAAATCTTTTCACAAATATCGGTAACTTGAATTTTATTTTTTAATATTAGCTTCGAGAAAGTAATAAAATCTATTCGATTTATTTTACAATTTGGAAAAAAAAACAATTTATTTAAAAAACGTCTTCAAAATTAAATTTAAATGAATGATTTAGGTGCCTATTAATGTTTTTGTATACTGAGGTCAGTTTCTTTGCCTGTGTCATGTATTCTGTCCGCGTGTAAAAATGGTGCACATGAGTCTCGATATGCCAGTCCAATTACAGCTTAAGAGATCTTTGAAATTAGATAAGACTGGGTCAATAAGTCTATAACCGATGCGTAGTTATTAAGTGAATTTTGATCGTAATTTTTCAGTGTATAACATTTGATCTAAGTGGTTAATATTCATCATTCAATTAAGTGCATTGACAAAGAAGATCATATTGAAACGTTTATGCAAAAGGAATGCTGTTTTCGTTAGGCTGTTGACAACAATATACCTAACACACTATGCACACATATATATATATATATATATATATATATATATATATATATATATATATATATATGTGTGTGTGTGTGTGTGTGTGTGTGCGTGCGTGCGTGTATGTGAGCGCATGTGTGTATTGTGTATGTGTATTGTGTGTTTGTATGTGCATGTGCATGTATGTGTGTGTTTGTGTGTGTGCGTGCGTGCGCGCGTTAGAATTGCAGTAATTAATCCACGCACAAAGAGTTTGTCAAAGTCATTTTCTGGTTCTTAACTAAAGGTGGTGTCAATTAAAAAAGAAATTCAAAATCAAAAATCAACCTTCTTCTACCAACAGACAAAATTATAGAAATATGTCGTCTAGTTACAAACTACACACACACACACACACAAACACACACACACACACACACACACACACACACACATATATATATATATATATATATATATATATATATATTGTTTTTGGGTTGTCTCGCTAAAACAGTTAAGTCTGACTTCGATTGTCACTGGGTGCCGATATATTCGACCTTATACCATATATATATATATGTATCCAGACGAGTAGACGGACGGGTCTGTCTACGAAACTCTGGAGTCGGGATGCTGAAAGTAACAGCAATCAGCTAAGTCACAAGCCTTTTACTCATATTAATTCTCTCTCTCTCTCTTTATTTCTTTCTCTCTCTCTCTCTATATATATATATATATATATATATGTGTGTGTGTGTGTGTGTGTGTTATTGTGTATTTGATAAGGAAACTTTTTTAAGTTTTTATCAGGTTTTTCTAATCTTTTCTTACAGTTTTCTTTTTCTCTTAATCTAACGAACTTGACCAGCATTCGAACTCAGCGCTCGTATTTCTTATTCCGAGCCATCATCTATTGCACCACCTGCACATACGCCTGGATAAACTGTCCAAAGTTCATATTGTTGTTCTGACCGAATAAAAACAGAACAAAAATGTGAACTTTGGACAGTTTATCCGCAATTTTTTACCCCAATAGATATCTTATCAACTGAATTTTATATATATATATATATATATATATATATATATATATATATATTATTTGTATATATTTAGTTGGCATGTGGGGGGGCACAATAAAGTTTTTGGAAAATCACTAAATATTTTGTCAGGTACATATTGAATAGTATTTTTGATATCTATCTATCTATCTATCTATCTATCTATCTTAGTCTTTTCAGATCTATCTATCTATCTATCTATCTATCTATCTATCTATCTATCTATCTATCTATCAGTCTCTTCAGATCTATCTATCTATCTATCTATCTATCTAAGTCTGCTCATAACTACCTATCTATCCTTCCTTCCCTAATTTACGGCCACAGCACGTTGAAACGCCGGTTCCCGTTCAATCACTAAAGTTAAGCAACGACAAACCTGGTCAGTATCTAGATGAGTGACTGCTTTTGAATATCAGGTGTTGGTATTGGATGTACTAGTTGTGTAATGGATAATGGCTTAGAATTGTTAATCGGAGAGCTGAGTTCCAATTCCAGTTGGGTTCGTTAAATTTACTTACGCGCAAAATACCCTCGGTGAAGGTATTAATCCATCTAGTTTTCCCCTAGCTATGGATTATTTAGTAAGATTTGTGTCACTCATACTAATATTATCTAAAAACAAAATGCGTATAAAATATTTAGATTTCGGCATTAAATAACCCATAGAGGTTGATATGTCACTAAACAAAAACCGGCCAAGCGACCATCATTTTTCTCTTTACTCCGTCTGTTATATTTGATGAAGAGTTCTTTGAGTAGATGTCTGTTCTTTTAAACATTTCATTTTCATCTACAGCCAAACTTTTCTTTTAAAAATGAACAACATCGCCCCCCACCCACTTCGGTATATAGGAGAAACTACCGTAGAGCCATTTGGGCTTTGGACGGACTCAGCCAGTATTGATTTCGAGGCAAACGTCACATTCCTTTATTAAATAACTTTCGAAAAACCCAAATATACGGTAAAAAAGGAGTCTACTTAAACACATTAAGCCACTAAATACGACATATACAAAAAAATCCATGAATTCCATCAAAATTAATTTATATATATATATATATATATATATATATATATATATATATATATATATAGATAGATAGATAGATAGATAGATAGATAGGTAAGATGAGAACTAATAAAGTACAATTCGAACGTTCGTAACATTCAATTTAAAAGCGGTCTCAATA